GATGTGTAAACAATGACTCATCGGTGTTAAATTTCACAGAAGGGCGAGACAAAGGAAGTTAAACTTTGAAGCTTTTTCTTCAAAATTAACGCATTTCTTTCGTTTTTTTCAGTTTTAAGTATTTTTTATGTTTAATTACATTTATATCAAAAATTGCTAGGAACTAAAGCGATTAAGGTAGATCTAGCTGTCCTTTACATCCATAAACATTATATGTCAGCGGAACAAATGGAGTGAGCTTTGAGCGTTCCACGATTTTTGGAAACTGTCCGTACGCAGGCTTCCTAAACAAGCCTATATGTATGTTTGTCCAAGAAATTTTTGGATGAAATACAAACTGCAAAACTTCAAAATCGCATAAAAATAATCTGCATAAAAAGAGACCTTACAGTACTAACAAAATTATGAAAATTAGCTAGTAACATTGAAAGCCTTTACTAAAATTTTTCAATGGGACTTAAAATGAAGAAGTGTTCTTTGTGAATAAATTATTTAATAAATTTATTAATAAATAAAGTGTATAAATAATTCAATATTTATTTTTTAAATTTAGTTTATTTATAATTATATTTTAACAATGTTAAATATATACATACAAAATAAAAATGTTATTTGAATTTTGATGTAGGAAGTTAATGAAGTTGTTCAAAAAATGTCTGGTGTGGATAAACCTGTACCATTGTTAGGAGAAGAAAAATTATCCACACCTTATAGTAGACGAGTATTATTTTCTTTACTGTTGCGTTTAAAGGTGAGATCATAATAATTTAATTTTGTAGCTTGTAGATAACATATTTTCATAAATATATTATAGAATCAGAACAATAAAAAGTGTTTAAAACTTTATTCTTAAACTTATATATATTTTATTTGGGTATTAGTAAATAATTTTAATTTTTTATTTTATAGATAAAAGAACATATTAATCTAGAAATTAGTTTATATTTTACAATGAAAATATTTATGTATACATTCAGGGATGTAATCAGAAATTACTGAGTGTGGGTCACCTGCATCACTGATGACTTTTATAGGCTAAGCATAGGTAGGTAGGCTGCCATAAAAATGTAATAGCCCAAGATCACTAGCAATATATTATTGTGCAAGGAGCTGCTATATTGATGTGGCAGTTCCTTGCATATCATATGAAAATCAGTGATATACATAATAGGGTTTCTCAAACGGGATCCCGGGATCCCGGTTGTTTTTTTAACCCGGGAAATATCCCGGGAAATTTTTCTTATCCCGGGGCAAATTTCTTAAAAATTCATTTTTTTCTTATTTTGCGTTAAGGTTGAGGAATTTTGCAAATAGAAAGCATAATTAACTCATTCACTGTCAGAATACATTTGTATTTATTAATTTTAAACCTACCTATTAGTTTTTTTTAAATTTTTGCTCGTTATAGAATGTCACAAATGGTCAATAATCAATATATAGCTTATTTGTGGCAGGACTATAAAAATTCTTTACTTGTCGGAACCTGTAATATCTGGAATAATTGTGCTTACGCTGTCTTGAGTTTTAACCATGCCCAGTAGCTTCAATAAATGCCTGATGCCAGATTGTGCAAATTGGGCAAGGATACAAACGAGTACAAAGTCTGCAAGTATAAAATTTTTCTTCATAAACCTGATTATTAAAGCCTAATGAATTGCCGAATTATCGAGCTCTAAGCTTGATGCCGCTATTAAAGCAGCCAATATAGACAAATCAAGAATACTAGAGAGCGAAAGAAGTACTACAATCTCAAAACGAACTCGAAATCTTCCAGGCTACAGGTGAAAAAACACATCATATCTGTCTTCTCTTAAACGCATTAAACACTATTCCAATCACATCAATTGAATCGGAAAGGGCATTCTGGTGGCAAGACTTTTCATTACTAAAATAAGAATTGGAGTGAGTTATCGGAGTATTGACCAACTTTGCTTTTTAAAATCTTATAAAAGTTTGCAATATTTAGTATTATATTTTATTTAAAAAACGAAAATTACCTTCTAAATTAGAAGTTCATTTTTTTTAATTTTTAACTCAATTCAAAACATTTTTTTTGTTGTTGTTGTATGCAGTTTCCAGCAAACTTTAATTAATTTTTTTCTATTTGTGAAAATTTCTACGTTATTTAAAGGTAATTTTTATTATAGGCCTATAGACCTTACACAGCATTATTAATATGATTTTGGAGGTTACAGAACTTTAAAATTACTTTAAAAAATGGAAAATAATTATATCATTTGATTTCAAGATATTTTGTATACCTTAAAAATAATTAATTCTATCCCGGGATCCCGGGAAACAGTTCACTTTTATCCCGGGATCCTGGGACAAGCAAAAGACCGGGAAATGAGAAACCTTAATACATAACCAATATTCAATAAAAATAAAAAAAAGAAAAGTCTGACTGAACAAGGACAAGTATTAAATTTTGTTCTTTACCTTGTGTCTGTTCATATAATCTAGTATTTGAGTCTGATTCACCTGTTTTTTTGTTTCATGCAGTGGTCAACTGCTTGTGACATTTTTTTCATGCTGTTTACTTTTAAACTCATAAGAGATGGCAGTGGAGATCAACAGACAGTGAGGGGCAGAAGAGCATTAGTACACAACTTGCCACCCCATGTGACTACATTCCTGATAAACTGTATTTACAAATTGTTGTTATTGATCATATTTTAAACAGGCACAAAATATTACAACTATAATAAAATTGTATGATAGTTGAGTTTGAAAATTACATAAGAATACAGATATGCTAGATTTAGATATTCTTTTTTTTTCATTTGGATGACATTTTTCTTATTTTGGGAGTTTTCAATTTTATTATTACAGTTATTAAAATATAAAAGTGGAAAAACTTCAAAGCATTCACTTTTATTTGTTTGATTTGTCATAGTGATGTAGGTTTCCTTCTTTTTATTTTTGCTTTTTCGGAGTTTTTACAATACATCTAATGAATTAGAACATTAATATTTCTCTTTTGTACTAATGAAAAGATGGATTTGGAAATATTTAAGGTTTAATCAACACCGTTAAATAGATTCTTGAATATGTACAATACATCATATTCAAAAGTGAATATTAATAACAAATATTTTTTTTTAGTAAAGTTGTTTAATAATCAATGAAATTCTTGATGTGAAAAATTATAGATACTTGAATAAATCTTCAAATATCACCAAAACTTGGGTTCTCATATTTCAATGAAAATATGTGAAGATTCTTAAGATGTACAAGATGACTTGTTTTATTTTGTTTACTAAGTTATTTTTTTTATTATTAATAGTGAATCAATAATGTCAGTGATAAACAAATAAAATAACAGAATAAACAATGAAAAAATAATTAAATTAGACAACAGTAATATAAAAGATGATAATATTCTGTAAAGTATTATATGAAATGCAGATAATAAAATATATTAAAATTTGAAGAAGTTAAATTTTATTGTTTGATATTTTGAGATTTAATGTATATTGATGTTACAATTGAGATTTCTCAGTTTGGATAGTGTAAACAGAATATTATTACAAGAAGAAAGCAAATCTTAATATTTAAACAAATAAATAATATTTTTGATAATATATAAAATATATGAAACATGCAATTCCATAATGCTGTAAATGCTGAAAAATAAACTTTTTCAGGAGAGGTAAAAACACTTTTTTAGTGAATTTCAATTTTACAATGGTAAAATACTCACTAGGTTACAAACTCTTTGGAGTATCAAAATGATGTTAATATAAGCTGTAAAATTTCAAGCACCAAAAGTCATATGACTTATACTTTGACACTTTAAACGCTATGGTTTCACATAAATTCAACTTCAAAATATAGCCACTTACAGTGCCACTATCTCCACAATATTTTTTTGCAGCAGAAAACATTGTTTAGAATACATTTCTCCAATAAAATGTATTTAGAGAAAAATGGCATTTACAATGTTATGGCATTGCATGCTTCATATATGTGCAGGTTTAAATATCAAAAATTAAAATTTAAGTAAAGTTAAGTATATATAATAAAGGTTTTGGTTTCAGATTATTCAAAAGTTTCATTGGGCTTTTCAAATTGCAGAACTATACATTCCCTCTGTTGTCCATCTGTCTGTTTGTTCTTCATTAATCTCAAGAACAGAGTTAGATGAAAACTGTGACCAGATATGGAAAGCTTAGGGACCAGAGATCCTGACTAACAATATATGAACTTCCAGTTCAGACTGGAAGTTCATTATTTTTAGTTAAAAGATGATTAAAAATTGTAGCCCAGCATAATGATAATATCACAATAAAGAACTGGTTGTTATGGTATAATAATTTTACAGTATATAATGCCAATGAATTATATACTGTAAAATTATTTCATAATTCTTTATGTTCTCTTAAGACTTGGAAATTTTATTTAATAAGTTTGATATCATAATTTTATAAGGATAATCCAATGTGTTTAAAAGTCAATGTGAAATGGTGCAGATCATGTAATAATATGAGTTATCTGTTAGTTTTAATTTGCAGTTATAAATATATCTAAGAGCTTTTCTAAACTTACCAAGAGCATCTTTAAACAAGTAAAATGACAAAACCATATTTGGGACAAGACTATGTTTTGGAGACGGAATCACTTTAATGCTCAAGACAGGTCTTGTTCTCATTCTCCTATCTTCTTTGATATCGCTGCTTTTGGGCACGATCATTCAAACTTTGCCGGCCACTACCACGAGATTGTCCACAATGCATCTTCGATGAAATTAATCTATCTAATTTCAAAATTTCTCTCCGTTGTGTGTCAGCCTGGGTTGAATTTTTGTCAATGCGTACCGAAAAGTTTCTGTTTTGAAAAAAATAGTCATGGTTATTGTATCGTCTGAAATTATTTTTTTTATTTTGCACAAACAATATACAGTTTAATTCGATTATAATGTCATCGAATGTAATGACAACCTTAATATAACGTCAAATTTTTATCGGTCCTACAATTTTACTATACTAGATAATGTTAAAAAAAACCCAGTTGTAATGACATAAAACCATTTTAACGTCATATTTGAAGCACTCCCAAATTTACAAAATTAGATTACAAATTTTATTTAACATAGAAGAAACTACGTGTTCAGTCCTAAGGTCAGCGTTCACTTCTTAGAATGACTGTGGGTGGTACTCTCCCCTACCTGACTTCAGTGGGATGAGGTGGCTGTTTTGCCTGTTTGTAGAAGAGGGTCACTATTTTGTATTTTATTTTGACTCGATTCTCGGTTCCCTGACTACCTATGAGTCTGGATTTTTTTTATGCACAAATGATTTGGGCACCTAATACTCTGTACCAAATATCAACTCTCGACATGTACTCCTTCATACCTCTATGCTGGTAAGAAAATCAGGCAGTATGATTTTATAAACAAGACATAGTCTTGTCAAAAAATATGAAAATTCCTATGTACACTACAGACTAACTTACCTATCATTACATTTTTTCTGAAATCATCAAACATGCACATACACATTGTCTTTAGTCTTTTATGTGTTTTCTGTATTCACACTTTTATTGATGTTGTTAAACATTTCTAATTGAACTTTTATATTTAAAGTAGATAACTTTCCAGTAATTATCTCCTCTCTATGTAGTAATGCTCAGAGAACTAATTAGACTGTTGATTTTGTCATAAAGAATAACAAGAGCTAAGCAATTGATTCTCAAAATCATATTATTGAATATTGTAGAGTTTGTATACAACTTTCTTAGTAATATCATCAACTATGATATTAACAGCAATTACTTTTTTATTTACTTTGTGTCTGACAGTTATTCCTGACAAGAGTAACACTTGATAATGCTGCCACTTTGACCATATCTCAACTACAAGTGGCTCTTTGTGCATCAAGTATATTAAAGATATTATCAATTTTAAATTCCTTTTCTATTGTTATTTTAGCAGTTACTATTATTATCATTATATATTTTATTAATATTATTAGATAAATTAAATAGAAAAGAAGCAAAACATTTAAAATAGGGAAATTTAGTAGTGATTGAGAAATCAATAATTTTGGGAATTCAGTAGTGATTTGTATTTTTGACATTTATGCAGTTAAAGAGATTGTGTGTCAAATATTCCACTTTTTCTGTTTATTCCATTTCTATATTTTATATGTAATTTTAAATGTTGCAAAGAACTGTTATGGAAATGAAATTAAAAAGGAAAAATTGGAATATTTGAGATGATTAATTTCTAAATTGAATACCAGTGTTATGTTTCCAGCAGCCACTTAGAGGTGCAAGGTATATAGTGATGCAAGTTATGCAAAGGTTCTATTTATATTCTACAATTTTTTGTGAAATATATGCTGGTGTGCTCTAGGTTATTCATACAAAATTGTAGTATTAATTTATTAGTAACATTTTCCTGTAACTTGATTCCAAGTACTCTTACTATTAATATTATATTATTGGAAATAAAATATATAAAAAGGGAAATGCTGAATAGTATATAATACATCTAATTCAACGTTTTTCATGTTATATATTCTATGAATAATTTAATATAAATCCACTTTCTTACATTTACAAAAACTTTATTTTCTTATTAGTTGTTTTGATTTTATTAGTTTTTGGGCTAATTTAAATTTTAGTAGATTATGAGACCAATTAAAGTAAATAGTTTTTTTTTACAGGATAAGTAAAAGTAGAGAATTAAACTACAAAATAGAAAATATTAGTGACAATAGAATGTAGACTGTAACATAAAAATAATAATTTTATTTTGGTGGAATTTTAGCAAATACTTAAATATATTCTGGACTTTAATGCAGAATTACAAATGATAGAAACAGGTAATAATAATCTAATTTTGTTACCTGTTTCCATTCCGTTAAAATATTTCAAATTGTGTTATTTTTAAAAATATTTCATTTAGATTAATAATGTAAGGTGCTGACTTTTAAGGGCAATAAGTTAATTGCACGTCAGGAAAAGCCTAGGGACTGATCATATGTGGGTGGTGGTGGCAGAGGAAAAGATGAAAAGTGTCTTACAAGAATCGTTTATTTTAACATTAAAAGTAACATACATAATAGTAATACAAAATGCGATCTAAATTGTCTTTGTCAGGGAGCTCCGGATGTCTGTGGTTGGTATGGGTTCGCTGCCAGAAGATGTGTGCCCCAGGGCCTTAGTGGAGGCAAGTCCATAGAGTCGGCGGTGAGGCATTAGCGTACAAAGCGGGCAACTAGTTGACGGTCCAACAAGCACTGTTTGGCGGGCAGAGAACTCCATCTTTTTCCCTTGATTTGGAGGTTTTATATGATTTCCCCTCAAATTTCCCATTTTTGATTGGTCTTGTGTCCCTTTTCCCTCACCCTGATTGGTCATTCTTCTGTCTTCAAGTGAGACCGAAGCCAATTCGAGTCAGGTAAGGCCCAGGAGGTGCTGACGGGATCTTGACACCTGCACTTGTAATTTACACCATTATAGTCTTTCTTGGACACTTGTCTTGACCTATTTGTCAGATGTTTTATGTCCATTTATCCCCCCAAATGGTTTAGGGCTCACATGACCTAACAGGTGTCCTTTTGGTCATTAGCCCTCCTGTTTTTTCCTTGATTGTTCGCACCTCAACTCTTATATACAAGCACCATGACAAAGCCTCCTTTCACCCGGTAGACATTCCCTCTGTCATTTATCACCATGTCTGTTTAGTTTTAGAACAAGTGTTTTCCTTTCTGTCGAGTCTACCGCATTGACACATGTTCTTGATCCAATTTAACCTTTGAAGTTTCTTGACTTAGGAGTTTTATGATTAATCAAAATTTCAACTTGATTTTTGGAACCTCACAATAATTTATATTTATATAAATTTTACAATATCATGTTAATAAAAAAATTATTTTATTAAAGGGAATTCAAATAACAGCAACTACACCCACAAGTAGTGCAGTAAGATTAGAAACAGGAGTTGTTGAATTACAATTGTCAAATCGAGTTCAAAACATGTCATCTGGAAGTACTCAAAATGGTAAATTTTTGTTATTTAAATTTTTTTTGTCAAATTAGGAAACATAGTAAATATTTATTTAACTTATCTTTTGATGCTCATATTTAGTGATATTAAACTTAAAATAATTATTAAATATCCTTTTTTATTACAATGTATTTTTTAATCATATTTATGAATTATATGTATTAAAAAATTTTTTGTTGAGAAGTTAAAAAATCTTCATTTGTTTGAACAAGTATATTTTAAGATTGTTAAAATATTTTCATTGTACATTTCTGTCTCTCTGTTCATCTTATTCTATGCTATTAATCTAATTCACTATATTATATAATATAAGAATATTTTTTATTTAATTATAGTTAAATTGTATATTTTGGACACATATGATCACATAATGCAGCTTTTTTTAAAATTTTAACATATTTTCTTATTGCAGTCTCATATGTAAAAGGTCATCATCATTTTATGACCATTTACGTAATAAATAAAAATCATTTTTACTAAAACTCTATATTTTGACTATGATTACTGTAGTCATCTTATCTGCATTGTTCTAGTTTATAAATTTTATCATATTTTTAAAGTTATTTTTTTGTCTGTTCTTTTAGTATATTGAAATAATTTTGTAAGATAGATGTTATTAATGTTCTATATCTTTTTTTAAACAAGTAATAAATTCTATTAAGAAATGTTACTTTCTATTTAAAGAAGCATTTAATTTGTTTGAATGCTTTCTATTAGTCTTTTCCTTAACAATGATTTTATATAAAACAATGGATTTATTATGATTATCAAAGTAGCAAGAAAATTTGGTTATTGTGTTTATTGAAATATGCAAAAATAAAAACGAAAATAATTTTAAAAATTTGAATTTATATTATTTTAGGCAATAATATAAAATTATTTGGGAAAGCACAAGTAGATTTAAATTTGGCACTTGGACAATTAATAAAGGTAAAATTAAACATATTAAATAAATTCACATTTCATGTATTTTTTTGTTTCAAGTTAAACTATAATATTTTATTTAGAATGCTTTATTTGAAGAAGCAGAACCTGAATTTCAACAATTTGCTTATTTTAAAACTAGAATTTGTATGAGAAATGCTTTGCAGGTAAATAAAAACCAATAATTGCTAGATAAGGAAGTATAATATATTGAGTATGTTTTATTATAGGCATGTTTGGATTTAAATATTTTTCTTATTGCATTAAACATCTACAGTATAGTGAAAATATAGTTTTAACATTCTTTGATATATTTGTATAGGATGAAATGATAACTGGTCAATCTGAAGATAAAGAAGCTGTACTGATTACATTAAATAGACCTCTTATTTATATCCAACCAATTGCATTAGATAAAGGTATGTATTTAAAGAAATTTATGTATAAAATTTCAATGAATTTGTTACAGTTAAAAAGTAAGATCCATGTACAGTATATGTTATGTTATAATTTTCCATTTAGTCTTAAAGTAATGTTTTTGAACTTTTCCATTTATAAGATTATTACTTAATAGGAACATAAGAATTTTAATTTATTTTTTTTGCGCAATAATAATCTCATTAATAAATTTTTCAAATTAAATACTAATACTTAATTACTTTTATACTTACTATTGTATAATGAATATAAACACATATTTATTATCAACAGTTGATAATACCTCATATTAAAATTTACTTTAGCTGTTTTAGTATGGTTGAATTATAAAAATGCTTATGAATATTGGAATGAACAACGTTCAAGCTTAAATAAAGAGGTTAGTTATTAATAAAGTTTACTAAATTATCATTAAATAGTTAAAAACTTTTATTGTTATTATTATTATTATTATTGATATATTTATTATATGAAATTTTATATTCATATCAATATAGTGTTTGTGTATTATATTCTCTAAGATCTAAATTTCAACAGCAGATTAATAAGGTCTATATTATAATCATACCATGTCATATTATGAATTTATTTATTTTCTTAAAAGTATTGTAAGCAGATATATAAATAAATTACTTATTTTTAAGTATTGAATTTTTTACTTTGCCTCTGTAGGTTTTGACAGCAACACAGCAAGTATTTGAAAAAGTACCACAAATATCTCAACTTGGCAGTCAGGCTCTTGGTACTCTCTTTTTACAACTTACTGTTGATGACATGGGCATATGTCTTCCTTTAAATCCACATAGTGGAGTAAGTTAATCAAATATGTATATTAATATAAGTATTTGATAAATATATTTTTTTGAATATTATAATATAATTAAGATGTAAAATTAATATAACAGAACCTGGATTTAGTGGATACTCTTGCCACTGAAGACTTTGCTCACTTAGAAGAGGTGTCTTCTTAAATCATGTATTCATTAAAAATTGCTCTATATTTTACAACATTTAATGGTATTTTAAATAATTGATTCATGAAAAAATGTGTAATAAGAACAGTAATCAGAAATATTCAAAGAATCTCTGAAATTATAGGATTATTTATTTGTGATAATTAATATAAAATTTTACACTACAAAATAGCATTTCTAATGTTATTTTGTATTGCATTTACTGTAGTGGTCACTTTGTACTAAATTTAATAATTAAAAATTAATTATTAATTAATTAATTTAGAGATATTTAGGAAAAAACACTAAGCATGCAGACTCAAACCATAACTTTACCAAGCTGGATAGGTGGTATTACTGATTATGCTTTCAAGACTTTTTAAATAGCATATTTACCAATTTGGTAAAATGACTCATTTTATTTTTTGTTTCTATTATCTTTTCCTTTAAAATTTTTTGAGTTTTTTAATTTCATTATGCAAAGAACTGTGAAAACTTTGTTTGACAAGTTTAAGGACAGAAGTAAATTCTAAGAAATAATGGTATCAAAGATAGTCATAATATTTTTATACTGATATTCATGGGAAACATGAAATCTATTGTACTGTTTTCTTGACAGAGGTTTTGGAGAATAGGAAGGATAATTAATTATTGTTCATTGTAAGCAGGAAGCATTATCACTTAATTGAGGTAAAAATATATTAATAGCCCTATTACTATGGTAGGACTTGACATTTTTTTCCCCTAAATATAAGTGTCCACTAAACCCAAATTTTACTGTTTAACAAAATTTTGGTAAAATATTATTTAAAAATTTAGAAATAAATGTTCAAATTATATTTAAATTTACAATTGAAAATATTAACAATTAATATTTAATAATTAACATAAAAGTTAAATCAAAATCTAAAATTATATTATTAAATTATAATTTATTGTAATAATTTAATTAAAAATAAAGCCTTTAAATAGCTTGATTGTTAGCTGTTTGGTTTAAATATTCAAAATTAATATTCTAAAAAAATTCTAATGATAAAAAATATGCATAAAGTTGTACTATATGTAATGAATCAAACAAGTTGTTTGGTTAATTACATATACTTGTAGTTTCAGATGATGACAATTCAAAAATATTAAAATATTTTACAGTGCTCATATTTTGTGAATACATATTGCTGAAGCAGAATAAATATTTTTGTGTACGCTATACAGTAATACCTCAACTTACGCTACCCCGACTTACGCGAACCCGGAGTTACGCGATTTTCAAATCTCGTCGATTCGGCTTTTGTTTGAGCGCCATGCAACTCTTGATTACTCATTCCCCCCACACTATTGTTCAGCTTACACGTTCGGACGTGTTGTGCGGAATCGACACAGCTACAATTTATTTTGTGTTATTTATTTCTGTGTTTGTTATATCTACGGGGACTTGAGAGACTCTATGTGGCAATTTCTTGTAACCGTAAACGAATCAAAAGACGAAATAAGATTAACGAGAACATTTATTAGCTTACATACATCCGACTTGGATTTTACACAAATTGCGAAATTATACCCCGACTTACGCGAATTTGACTTACACGGTTATCGTTCGGTCCCACCTATCGTGTAAGTTCGGGGTATTACTGTATCTTAGTTTATCATATTTTATTGAATTAAATATGAAAAGTTATGTATTAAGACAGGCTATTTTTATTTTTTTGAGATTTTTAGTTATTTTGTATGTAGATGTGAAAATTAAAAACAGATTCTATGACATTCCATTTATTATTTATAATGTATACATTTTAATTTTAACAAAAATTAGCATATTAATGTTTTTAAAATTAATATGCTATGGAATAGTTTGTTTTAAACTTCTTAGAAGATATTAAAAATTATTTAATTTTAATATAAATCTAGCAATTTTTTTCAAAAATAATAATTTTTTTCTTTTAATTTTGACAGTTTTATATTCATTTGCATGACTTACATGCAACTAAATATAAAGCTTGATAATTAAGCAGATATGGTATTCTATTTTAAGCTTTTTTTTATTTATAATTTTGTATTGTAATTAATGTAAAAATAAAAATTTTTATTAATCTGCTTTTTATATAGTAATTTCTTATATATATATATTATTTTTATAACTTATGGTTTTAGTCAGTAGAGATTTTTATTGTTTTACCATGCATATAAATATTGATTAATTTATAAAATAACTATTTAAATATTTTAAAATTTACTAGTTACAAATTACAATACAAAAATAGCCATGACATTTTAAAAATATATATATTTTTAATAATTTATAATAATGTAGACAATCATATTTATTTATTTTAATACTAAATGTTTTTTGAAGGATCTTTACTGGAAGTACACACAAAAATAAAGAAAAAACTGTTCAGAAAATAGCATTAAAATGAACATGATTTTATCTATATGTTTATGCTTGTGAATTGCAATTAGCTAAATATAAAACAGTTTTTACATGTTATCATTGGTTTTATTGTAATTTAAAATAATGTAAACATTAGTATTTATTATTTCATTAATTTTAATTTATTGAATCTTTCAGAATATTAGTAGTAACAAAATATATGACACAGAATTGAAGGCAGCTGTTGTAGTAACTTTGGAAAATACTCGAGTTTCAGCTTGTTCATGTGGTTCTTTAGTGAGCAAAGCTAGATTTACAGGTATGAGCAATGCAAAATTTTATTAAAAAAATAAAAATAATATTATCTGCAAATTTTATTATATTATATTTATTATAAGTTTTAAAATTTATTATTACCTTTTTTGAAATCAAATTTACTTTTTCTGAAATTGGAATTGAAAAGGTATAATATGCCTTTACTTACACTTTGCTGTTTGTAATAGTGATGTAAACAAACAGTACTGGCATCATCAATACTATCCAGCTAGCTGCAAAACTAAGGGTTCATTACATTGTTTAAACTTAGCTTTGACTTTTTATTATTTTATAATATTAATTTCTATGTTAAATAAGTTTACCAAACATGAATTGGTTGGAAATATTTGTAATAGCCAGTTAGAGTTAAACTAAGTTGTGCACAGTGATTATTAGGAACAAAACAATGCAAGCAAAACTACTGTACAAATGTTTAGTACAGAATTGTAAAAGTTTGCATAATTTCATTGTGTTATTTCAATAGTTATTGCTAGTGAGACAACATAATAAAATAATGCATTTGGCTTATATGAGAGGGGCATAAAACAAAACTCTTTGTTGCTGTAATAGCTTAATTTTTTTATAAAAAATAATTTTAATATTAGAAGATATTTTAATTTATTTTATGATATTTTATTCAGACATAATTATTTAAACAACTTTTTAAATACAAAACTAATAAATTTTTAGATTATATTTAGAAAGTTTAATAAATATAATATAAAACATTAGGGAAAAAAGTTAATATTTGTTATGTGTTTCAATATAGCGTTTTATATTTTGATAAAATTCTATACATTAGTGAAATAAAACTCAGTAAACTGTACAGCCAACTTCGAATACTATGTTTACTTTGAATTTTCTTCTAAAAAGTTTTTAAATGTCCACAAAGATGATACTGAAAAGGCTCAAGTCAAGACTATAAGATGGCTGACATAAACTAGTTTAGTCCAGTTTTTAATGAGTAATACCTGATTTTGATGCAATGAGTTTTACATAAGAATATGCCTTTTTCCAAATTTCAGGTCACTTTTTTAAAATGGAATTTATGAAAATATCAGGATACTGTTCAATAATAATTGTTTGCTCATTTTCAAAAAATTCAATATGTAATGTTCCTTCCACATCTCAAAAATAGTTTCAAGAAGCTTTCAAGAGAAAGCTTCTTGAAACTATTCTGCTGACTTTCTGTGTGTTCTTTATTTGGTCACAGTAATCTTTTAAAATGCCATATGATAGATGGTCTTTTCAATTTTGAAATGTACAGATTAAATTAAATTTCAATGGATCTTAAAAATTTGTCTTTTTTTTACGGAACCATCATAAATGCTTTTGATGTCTCAACATGATCAGCTCTCTGATAAGATATTAAACTTTTAGGAACTTGTTTCGCAACATTTTTCAATTTCAAATAATTGCTTCTGCACTTGACTTACTAAGTCACTTTGGAATGCAATTTCACAAACTTTAGTTTCTTTTTACCAATTCTATTTTTAACAAGGTAAATATTTGTGGACATTACAGACATTGGTAAGATATGAGATTGCCAAGGTTATTGTCTGTCATATTTTGACTTGCTCAGCTTGTTCAGAAATACAGATTAAGAATCCTTTATCTGAAATTTCAAAAACTGAAAATCCCCAAAATATGAAAGTTTTTTGAGTGCTGACATGATATGCCAAAATTGAAAAACTTTCCACAAAGTACTGGGAATATTCCAGTATTTTCCCTAGTAGGGATTCTCCAACAGGATCCCAGGATCCTGGCTGTTTTTTAACCCAAGAAATCTTGCAAATTTTTTAAAAATTCACTTTTTTCTTATTTTGTGTTAAAGTTGAGGAAATGTTGCAAATAGAAAATATAATTAACTCAAACCATCAGAATACATTTGTATTTATTAATTTTAAGCCTGCTTATTAGTTTTTTAAATTTTTGCTTATTAAAGCATGTCACAGATTGTCAATAATCAATATGTAGCCTATTTGTGACAGGACTCTGAAAATTCTTTGTCAGAACCAGTAATATCTGGAGTAATTGTGCTTATGCTGTCTTAATTTTTAATTATGCCCAGTAGCTTCAATAACTGTATTATGCCAGGTTGTGCAAATTGGGCAAGGAATCAAATGAGTACAAAGTATGCAAGTATAAAGTTTTTTCTTCATAAACTTGATTATTAAAGCCAAACAAACTGCCAAATTATCTGGTTATAAACTGATGCTGCTATTAAAGCAGCCAAGGTAGACAAATCAAGAATACTAGACAGCAAAAGAAATACTGTAACGCATCTCAAAAATGAAGTAGAAATCTTTCAGGCTACGGGTGAAAAAAACACAACATCCATCTTCTCTTAAATACATTAAAGACGATTCCATCCACATCAATTGAATTGAAAAGAGCATTCTCAGTAGCAGGACTTTTCTTTAGTAAAATAAGAATCAAATTGAGTGATCAGAGTATTGACCATCTTTGCTTTTTAAAATCTTATAAAAATTTACAATAATACAGGGTCTTTATAATTAAAGTTTCACTTTGAAATAGCCATAAAAGGAAAACTACTGGACAAAATGTTATCAAACTCGGTAATAGTTTACAGGATGTCATGGGATTTTATTTTCCACAAAAAAAAATAGTTCAAAAACTCACCACCAGCGGGGAATGGCTCTGTATGTAATATTGTTAAACAAAATAAGACATGAAGACATGGTTGAAAATGAACAATTTGGCAGAATCGAAAAATGTGATACACTAACATGTCCATAACATTCCTCTTGATATTCTAAGAGCTACTGTTGATAATGCAGTAATGTTATTTAACTTGTTTTCAGAAAATGGTGGACGCCACATTGAACATACTTTGTAACACATTTTAGAAACGATTAAAAACATTTTCAACTGATGTCTTTATGTCTTATTTCATTCACCAATATTGCATACAGCAGCATTCCCCATTGGTGGTTAGTTTTTAACTTTTTTTTTTTTTTGTGAAAAATAAAATCTCATGATGTCCTGTAAACTATTACCAAGTTTGATAACAATTTGTCCAGTAGTTTTCCTTTTATGGCCATTTTAAAGTAGAACTTTAATTATAAAGACCCCGTATTTTGTATTATGTTTTATTTAAAAAACAAAAATTACCTTCTAAGTTAGAAGTTTGATCTAAGTTCATTTGTTTCTTTAAATTTTCAACTCAATTCAAAGGCATTTTTGTTGTAAGCAGTTTCCAACAAACTTTAATAAACTTTTTCTATTTGAATTTTTTATACATATTTTACACAGCATTATTATTATTATTATTTTGGAGGTTGCAGGTTGTATTAAGTTACTTAAAAATGAAAAATAATTATATCATTCGATTTTAACATTTATTTTATATCTTAAAAATAATTAATTATATCTCGGGATCCTGGAAAACAGTTCACTTTTTTCCTGGAATCCCGAGACAAGCAAAAAACTGAGAAATGAGAAACCCTACTCCCTAGGTCCTTTATTGCCAGGCATTTTACCTGGCTGATAAACTTCATGAGAATTACATATATATAAATTCAAAATTTAAATAAATGTGCATTCTTGCAGACAGATCAGTCTATGTAAATATGTTTTAAAAATATTTTCACACTTTTACAGTAGATAAATTTTTTAAAAAATGTATTCATATAGATATATGAAAATTTTCTGTTTTATCAAAAATTAATAAAAATTCCTAAATAAGTAACTTGAAAAGAAATCAAATCATACTAATATAGATCAAATCAAATTAAATGAAATCAGATGCCAATATACAAATATTTAGTAATCAAAACACTTTTGGTCCCAAGCATTTCAGATAAAAGATTCTCAACCTGTACCTCTTTTTGATAGAAAAGAGATCCTACCTTGTATTAATAATGTTCAATAAGTTTCAGTGTAGTTTAGTGTCTTCTTTGATTAAAAGTTTAAATTTGTTGCTGTACAACTGCCTCAATCTTTTTCCTTTCCATTTGTTTTAAAATATCTGTGCTAAAAACTTTTTCTAGAACATTCACTCATATGATTTTATTTGCATATTGCCAACTTTTTCAACCAAAAAAGTTTTATTTTATTTTTATTTATCATTTATACTATTAAAAAATGCAAGTTAATTTTGAATAGCTTTTGTATTTTAAAAATTTATATTATTTAATTTTAGGTTTATGTATAAGATTTGCTGATGATTTTGAAACATCATTGGATGATTGGAAACCTGATCCTAATGATACTAATATTATGAATCTTTGTGTTGTATCTGAAGGAACATATGAAATATGTTCTCGTACACTTGTTTCTCAAGGAAGTGGTAAGTATTAATACAATAATTTAATGAAATTCAATTATTACTGTTGCTTACAATTACATTTATAAAATTCTAATATTATATTACAACTTCAAGTTAAAACTCCATCCTTATCCTCAAATGTAATTAAAACACAGTAAAATGCAGAGAAAAAAATATGAATAATAAACTATTATGTTACAATGTAAAATGCTTAAAACATTGCATTTTGATCACTAAACACTTAATATAATTGTTAATTATAACAATAAAATTCTATTGCAATTTCATCCATGATTTATGATGCTATGAAATACAAACTATATTTACAGTCATAAACCATTATTCAAAATATGAAGATGCAGTAGAGCATTGATTATCTGAATACCGATCAACCGAAACATTGGTTAACTGAAAGCGTTCCAATCGGCAAATTCAAATTTCTACTAGTGTTGTGGTGCTACAATATTTGGCTATGTCTTGGGCTACTCAAATATTATTTTTGTTGGTGTGCATGTTTTAGCTGGCAGCACTGGCGTAACCACAAGAGGGTACTTAAGGACACGCCAGTATTTGAACAAGGCTTTTTTTCCTCCATTGTGAGTGGTGAGTTTTGCTTGTTTTGTGTGGTGTTTTTCTGAGGGCTGCGTGTCGGGTTGTGTGTCATGCTGAATCATAACGTTTTTGATACTAGATTAACTTCCAAAATATAATCTTTTGTTTTTTTATTTTTCAATATATTTATTTTGTTTGTGCAAAATAAATAATTTTTAACAATACAATAGCCATGATTATTATTTTTTTTAAAATTTTTGTTAGGCTTAACATTGATGAAAATTCAACACAAAGCAATATGCAACAGAGAAAAAGTTCAACATGGGATAGGTTAATATATTTTTTCGTATATGATCAGTTATCCGAATATCCCCAATCCTGAATTGTTTGGATAATCAATGTTCTACTGTACTTTTAAACTCATTAGGAAATTTCATAAAATTGAAACTTCCTTTTCTTATCCATTATTTTCTAATGGCATCTACTTTGATTTTGCATTTTTTGACATTCTGTATGATACAAGCCTTACCAAATCTATGATCCAGAGAGTGTAGCCTTTACTTTTCAAATTGCTAATTTGAGACAAATTAATGGTTTTTGAGATTAGTATAATGATTTCATATTTGATATTTTTCAAATTATTTAATAAGGTTTGAATATAAAATTTTAATTCATCAAAAATTATAGTTAAAAATCATAAATAATATTTTGAAATTAATGAATATTTTATTATATTCCAGGTTATAGTGCTAAATGGATACTTAATGTACAGTGGCAAATGGAAGGTGTAGATATTCATGTAGACACCAACATTGGCAAACAACTTTCTGCATTATTCAAAACACTTACAGCTTTAACAGGAGATGATGAAGGAGATGGTGTGGATTTCAGTACTATTGAAGGACCATCTGGTTTAAATGGTCCAGTTGCTCCAGTAAGACTTAAAGAAATTTAAATTATTATATAATCTGTCATACCTATTATATAATGAAAAATATATCTGACTAATAAGTTTAATTTATCTAAGTTTCAATCAAAATTAATTTTTATAATCTAATAATTTGGAGTTATCATCAGATATGTTTGGAAATTTCAGTTATTCAAATATATTTTAATAAATTGTAAGTGTATTATAATTATTTTTACTTGGAAAATGTTTATAAATTACAGGAACCAGTTATAATACGAAAAGGAAGTACATTTGTAGAATCTCTTCCACCTTTTCTGTTAGATCCCTGTTTAGATGCTAAAAAGCGATCTAGACTTATAGAAAAGGAAATGAATGAACAGGCCAAAATCATTAATGATTTAAGGTAAAAGTTTAAACATTTTTGTATAAGCTGTTTGAATTAATTTTATAAATTGTTTGATTTATTTCTTTTAATAGATTACTAGGTGCAAGCCAAAATACAATTGAGCAAGAAGTAAGAAGATTACATGAACTAGAAGCAGCTGTTTTTAATGATTTTCGCCGAGATGTAATAAAAAGATTAAGAAGACAGAGTGTTAAAGTATATTTCATTAATTTTAAATATTTATGCATATATCATGTATATATTATTATTAACATATTTTTGATATCTTGGTTGCTGATAACAGGCAACATCATTCAGAGACAAATTAGGACTTGGAGTTAGATCTGGAGGAGCACCTTTACAATCTATGTCTTTATTCTTTCCAGATGGCAACAATGAAAAAAATGGGTAATGAATTAATTATTGCAAAATTACTATTATTTAGTTGCATATGTTAAAATATTTTATTCAATCTATAAACAGCATTAACCTTAAGTTACCTTTCTTATTATCTTCAATGAAATAGTACATATATAAACTGTTATAATAAATTAATTGTAGTGACATTCTTTAATGAATTTCTATTGTTTTATACAGTAGGCCTTTGATTTAACAAACAATTTCTTTCTTAAAGGACAGAAATTTTTTGTCTGTTAAACTATTTCATGAATACAGCATATGGAAAGGTTGGGTCAGTGAATCAATAGCAGTGATGAAACACTCCATTATTTGCATTGTATAGTTTTTTTTAATATGTTTACATTAAATAAAGTTTGGTTCCTGTCAAAAATTTATTTTTATTTTTCAATATATGTTTTAATAATGTGTATAAATTATCCAATATACATTATAATATATTAATAATAATATTTTAGTCATACTAATGCATTGTAATAACATTTTAATACATTAATAAAAAATGATCTTGGGCTGTTTATGATGGATGGACTCACCTAAATACTACATATCTGGACATAGACTCATCCAAATGCAAGATTTTATCTGTCCATAAATGGTCTGAGATTATTTTGATATTCATTTTGAGTCATCAAATGATGTAAAAGCAGCATCACAAGAGGTTTTACAGGTAGTTTTACAGGTACAAAAGATGGCTTACAGAGATGCTTCTAGAAGCTGTACAAGTGTTGGGAAAAGAGTATCATTGTACAAGGCGATTAGTTTGAAGGTGGTTGTGCATTGGTATTTTAAACTATTCAAGACAGGGAGCTATATGCCAAATATCCAATCTTTTGGCATACTTAAATCATATTATTAGTTTGTTTATTTTTCTTTGTTTCGGGTTGTGTGTCATGCTGAATCATAACGTTTTTGATACTAGATTAACTTCCAAAATATAATCTTTTGTTTTTTTATTTTTCAATATATTTATTTTGTTTGTGCAAAATAAATAATTTTTAACAATACAATAGCCATGATTATTATTTTTTTAAAAATTTTTGTTAGGCTTAACATTGATGAAAATTCAACACAAAGCAATATGCAACAGAGAAAAAGTTCAACATGGGATAGGTTAATATATTTTTTCGTATATGATCAGTTATCCGAATATCCCCAATCCTGAATTGTTTGGATAATCAATGTTCTACTGTACTTTTAAACTCATTAGGAAATTTCATAAAATTGAAACTTCCTTTTCTTATCCATTATTTTCTAATGGCATCTACTTTGATTTTGCATTTTTTGACATTCTGTATGATACAAGCCTTACCAAATCTATGATCCAGAGAGTGTAGCCTTTACTTTTCAAATTGCTAATTTGAGACAAATTAATGGTTTTTGAGATTAGTATAATGATTTCATATTTGATATTTTTCAAATTATTTAATAAGGTTTGAATATAAAATTTTAATTCATCAAAAATTATAGTTAAAAATCATAAATAATATTTTGAAATTAATGAATATTTTATTATATTCCAGGTTATAGTGCTAAATGGATACTTAATGTACAGTGGCAAATGGAAGGTGTAGATATTCATGTAGACACCAACATTGGCAAACAACTTTCTGCATTATTCAAAACACTTACAGCTTTAACAGGAGATGATGAAGGAGATGGTGTGGATTTCAGTACTATTGAAGGACCATCTGGTTTAAATGGTCCAGTTGCTCCAGTAAGACTTAAAGAAATTTAAATTATTATATAATCTGTCATACCTATTATATAATGAAAAATATATCTGACTAATAAGTTTAATTTATCTAAGTTTCAATCAAAATTAATTTTTATAATCTAATAATTTGGAGTTATCATCAGATATGTTTGGAAATTTCAGTTATTCAAATATATTTTAATAAATTGTAAGTGTATTATAATTATTTTTACTTGGAAAATGTTTATAAATTACAGGAACCAGTTATAATACGAAAAGGAAGTACATTTGTAGAATCTCTTCCACCTTTTCTGTTAGATCCCTGTTTAGATGCTAAAAAGCGATCTAGACTTATAGAAAAGGAAATGAATGAACAGGCCAAAATCATTAATGATTTAAGGTAAAAGTTTAAACATTTTTGTATAAGCTGTTTGAATTAATTTTATAAATTGTTTGATTTATTTCTTTTAATAGATTACTAGGTGCAAGCCAAAATACAATTGAGCAAGAAGTAAGAAGATTACATGAACTAGAAGCAGCTGTTTTTAATGATTTTCGCCGAGATGTAATAAAAAGATTAAGAAGACAGAGTGTTAAAGTATATTTCATTAATTTTAAATATTTATGCATATATCATGTATATATTATTATTAACATATTTTTGATATCTTGGTTGCTGATAACAGGCAACATCATTCAGAGACAAATTAGGACTTGGAGTTAGATCTGGAGGAGCACCTTTACAATCTATGTCTTTATTCTTTCCAGATGGCAACAATGAAAAAAATGGGTAATGAATTAATTATTGCAAAATTACTATTATTTAGTTGCATATGTTAAAATATTTTATTCAATCTATAAACAGCATTAACCTTAAGTTACCTTTCTTATTATCTTCAATGAAATAGTACATATATAAACTGTTATAATAANCATTAGAAATGTCTATTAATGTTGTAAATTAGGTTACGAAATTCTTTGTAATAAAAATAAATCAGCAGTATGTGATATGATTTATCTAAAAATTGCATATCAAATTTTAAGTCAGTCAAATATCATTAACGATGTTATTTTGAATGAAAATTTAAATTTGAAGAATCATTGTATTAAAATCTAATGAAATCATGAAATGTATAGCTGTATTTCAAGTATTAGAAAATTATTTAAATTTTGATAATTAGTATGTATATTGCATCTTAATTTGAGAAAATGTGTTTAGTTATTGTCTTAATTTAAACTAAAAAACGAAAAAGATACTTTTAAGAATATATTTAAGTTATCATACATAAGCTGAAATAATCAGAAATAAATTTGTTTGTCATAAATATGTATGTACTAAATCAGATAAAGATTTTTTACCCATATTATAATGAAAAATACAATAAATTATGTAGATTGTGTAAATATGAAACACACAATTTAAAAACATTTTCAACTGAATTTGTATAATTTATCTAAATCAGAAGTCAATTGTCTACTGTCCATTTATGTGTGGAATAAAGAAAAGGAAAGATTTATATTAATAGATATTTAAAAAAAAATATAAAAACATATTTTAAAAAATATGGATGATTTAAATATGTTATTCAATTAAGGATTTTTTATTTGTTCTATATCATATTTCACTGATAGTGTTTGCTTATTTGTTATGATTATTTCTTTTCTTTTTCTTTCTTTCTTTTCTTTTTCTTTCTTTCTAGTTTGTAATACTGTATATATGTGTATATATTTGTCCTTAAAAATTTGATCAAACTAATTTAAAATTATTTACTTTTTATGAATGAAAATAAATTTCAAATTAAACAGTTATCTGATTTTGTGATTACATAAAAATCCATGATAGCATATACTTTAGTTACTAGAAGTTATAGGTTTTTCTGTCATTTTACATAATTTTATTCTTATATAAAAACTATTGAAATAATTAAATTTATTATTATTATATTTAAAATTTAATTTTAGGGAACTATCACTTGATAGTGTGTTTACATCTAGTTTGAGTGCTGAACTCTGTCCTAGTGAAACTCCTACACCTCCTTCACAATGCACAGATATAGGAATTGCTAATGTTTCAAAGTCACCTTCTATATCACCTTCTATGGAAAATGTGCCTCCAAAATCTTCAAGTAGTTCAGAAGCTGGCACAGAACAAGATTTTCTTAATAATGATTGCTCAAAGTAAGTACTACAATTTTTTGGTTGTATACAAAGTGAAATATTTTTCATATTATAACTATTCTATTATATATTCATTCTTGTATAAGCTTATAAATGAAAGAATATTAAAAATATACTAGCTTTATGACATACTATTTATAAATAAAGAGAATTATAATTTAAAGTCATTCAAAAACTGTAATTTACCCTCTGATATAACTTTTTAATATTAAGATATGTCAAACAGCTGTTTTCAGAATACAAAATTTGTTTGATTTATGTCACAAAAAAATTTTTGAAACAGAAATATAAACAATAGCATAACTAGCTTTTCTGCATTTGTATTAAATTTTAAATTATACTCGCCTCTAAAAAATAATTACTGTGATTATTGTACATATACTGTATATTTAAGTTTGTAGTGGAATGTAAAATGAAATCATTTTCATGACTTCACAGATTAGCAGATATCTGTCTGAATTGGCCTAAAATTTATTTCTTCATATTCATCTTAATTNTGATTTTGTGATTACATAAAAATCCATGATAGCATATACTTTAGTTACTAGAAGTTATAGGTTTTTCTGTCATTTTACATAATTTTATTCTTATATAAAAACTATTGAAATAATTAAATTTATTATTATTATATTTAAAATTTAATTTTAGGGAACTATCACTTGATAGTGTGTTTACATCTAGTTTGAGTGCTGAACTCTGTCCTAGTGAAACTCCTACACCTCCTTCACAATGCACAGATATAGGAATTGCTAATGTTTCAAAGTCACCTTCTATATCACCTTCTATGGAAAATGTGCCTCCAAAATCTTCAAGTAGTTCAGAAGCTGGCACAGAACAAGATTTTCTTAATAATGATTGCTCAAAGTAAGTACTACAATTTTTTGGTTGTATACAAAGTGAAATATTTTTCATATTATAACTATTCTATTATATATTCATTCTTGTATAAGCTTATAAATGAAAGAATATTAAAAATATACTAGCTTTATGACATACTATTTATAAATAAAGAGAATTATAATTTAAAGTCATTCAAAAACTGTAATTTACCCTCTGATATAACTTTTTAATATTAAGATATGTCAAACAGCTGTTTTCAGAATACAAAATTTGTTTGATTTATGTCACAAAAAAATTTTTGAAACAGAAATATAAACAATAGCATAACTAGCTTTTCTGCATTTGTATTAAATTTTAAATTATACTCGCCTCTAAAAAATAATTACTGTGATTATTGTACATATACTGTATATTTAAGTTTGTAGTGGAATGTAAAATGAAATCATTTTCATGACTTCACAGATTAGCAGATATCTGTCTGAATTGGCCTAAAATTTATTTCTTCATATTCATCTTAATTTTTCTCTATATATTTTTCCTGTAGGATGATATTTATTGCTAATTTATCCCAACAGTTTTGAGCAATTCTTTCAATATATTCAAACTGTTTTTTCTGTCTTTATTTCTTCAATATTGTTTGTTATTTTTAGTTCTTATTTTTTCACATTTTGTTATCTAGTTTTTTGTATCTAGTGGTCTAAGAGTTATTATTTCAACTGCTTTGATTTTTTCCCCCTTAAAATAGACAAGATTCTAGGTAAATTGTTAATAAAATTAGGCATGTTTCAAAGCCAAATTTTATTAATGGTTTATTAAATCTTATATAGTTTGAAGTAGGGTTTTATTTATAAAACCCTACTTTAAACTGTGTTTGCTCAGATGACAATAATGTGCTTATTGGCTAAAATTTTTAAATTTCAATTTGTGAAATTAAAAATAAAATAAAACAAGTGAGAAATATAAATAACTTATACATATATATATTTATATATACACACATTAATATAACGTCAATATATCAATATATGAAACTTACCTTGTATGTTTAAATATCCTTGAACATTAAAATATATTTTTAAGCATTTCAAGTATTCTTGAATGTTTGAAGTATTAAGTTTTTGAAATATTTTGGAATATTTCAAATTTTTAATCAAGTACCAAATATCAATTGAAAATACAAATTCCTTGAACTCCTAGCAAAAGTAAGGTATTTCAGATAAAATTTTAAATACTCCCAAAGTATTTGAAATTAGGATTGAAATAGTACCCAGCTGATTGTATCATTTCAATTTGTTAAACACTTTTTAGTTAGAAAGTTGCCTAATTTTGATATTCCTTACAGATCACTTTTTATTATTTTATATATTTTTTTGCCTGCTGCTTTATTTTCTTGTTTCTTTTATATTTTTGTAAGCTTACTATTTTTAAATTCAATTATAGATCTCAAATTGGATCATACCTACATGGGCTGCTTATCAATAATTTTCCCAATGAATTTAAGCAAAATTTCACTTATAATATGTCTAAGTTACTAGAGAAAAATTGTTAGATTAACTAAGTTTCATTCACACTCAAATGAGTCATATGAGTGATGTTCTAATACCATGTTCAAATTAAATAAGATTTTCACTTTAGTACCAATGTACAAGTACTACAGTCATTTTAGATGATCAGACAATATTCATAACTGTGGCCATTTTTTATATGAATCATGTACTGTACATTATGAATTATAATATATATATATAGTTAGAATNTATTTGAAAATATTTTTATGAGGTAACTCATAAATAATACATATATTTACTAAGAAAATATAGAGTGAAAGCCGATTTTAATTAACAAAGAACTGGGTCACCAAAATATAAACTGTAATAGCTAATAATTATAATAAACTTTATAATCTGAATATTTATTCACGAAAACATGAGAGAATTTATTTGTGAATGTGTGTGATAATGCTACATTTAAAATGTTTATTATTCATTTATAAATAGTTACATGTTTATCTATTTGAAAACTGTTATTTTCAAATTAACTTTCAAAACAAACATTTAATTTATAATCTTAAAAATAAACAATATTTTGAAAAAATTGTTGATAAAATTTTTTTTGCTTTTTATATTTTCAGCAAAATGATAAATGACTTAAAAAGGACTGGACACACTACACCTGGAGGAACAAGTAGCGGAATGAGTTCAGCCAAACAGCCATTGGCAGAGCCAAATATTGACTTTGAATTAGATGTAAAAGTATTTTTTAATAGTGGAAAATGTGTATTACATACCAAAGATACATTTAGAGATTTACAAGATGATCAAGGACTGAAAAAGTAATTTTTTTAAACAAATGTTCTGCTTTTTTGAAATTTTTAATTTAATTGATTCTTGAAAATCTAATTCTTGAAATCTAATGATAGAAATCATTAAGGTGATGCAATATCTGGTAATCAATAAATTATAAATGAAATTATATTAAGTTTTTATCAATATTATCAGATATTTTTGTAAATAAACCCTGGGCTTAATTATGGAAACTAGATGGCTTCAGTTTGAAATACTGATGACAAAAATAGACTTAGTTTACTTTTTGACATTTATTTTTTTTTAAATATAAATAACATCATTCATCACAAAATTAATTAGTTTTTTGTTATCATTTTTTAATGTCTTATTGTTTACTTCAGCTTCATTATTTTCTGATTTTCAAGATTCCTCATTAATTTAAACTTAGTGTTGAATTTTATTTGTAGTATATTTTCAGTTATTTTACATGCTCTGAAATGTGTTATGATTAACACTGAGAATGATTATGATATTTGACTTCTCAAAAACTATTTTCCCAAACTGGAAAAATGGTTCCCAGTTTGGTCTTCTGTATCTCTTCACTATGAATGCTTTAGGTCCAATGCTAAACCAATTCTCTTATTCATAATGAAGTACTACTATGAATGGTGTATTCACTCAGATATTAAAAAGATTGCAGATAGTTAATTCTTTCAGATGATTTGGATAATGACTGAGTTAAAAAATCTGTTTTGAAATCTCTTCTGATTTCTTTTCATAAGAAACTTGTCTGTTTTAAACAGAAACATGGTTGATGTGGAAAAGAGTGTTTTTTGTGTGAAAGTATATTTAATCCAGTCTTTTATAGGGAGTTTATTCATTGATTTTGCAACTGATATTATAACTTTTAGATTTGAAGGAACAATGCAGCTTGTGACTTTCTTGTATTTATAATGATCATAGGTACCAAAAGAAGGTGACTAAATTCTGAGATGAACAACAATGAACTGTTCTATTGTTTTCAGTTGTCTATTAATTATGATGCCAAAAGTAAATTTGATATTTTGTATAAAATTTTCTATTTATCTCATACCTAATTTATGTACTCCTTCTTACTCATACTTGTATACTTTTGACACTCAGTTATGCACCTAGATTTACATCAAAAATGATTTTTAGTAGATTCAATAATATAATACAGAAAATAGTTCTGACAGTTTAAATTTATTAACTTAAATAATAATGTCTTTTCACTTCAATTTACTTTGTTCAATTCAAATAATAATATTGCCTGTTAATTTGTTTATTTTCTTATCTTGCAGTATGGTAATTGATTCAGATCACATGAAAAAATAAATTATTTCCATTTGTTAAATTAATATGCCTTAATGTTCTTAATTTATTCAAATATTCTTTCAATCACCAGTACAGTGTGTATTTCTATTAATAGGACTTATTAAACTGGTATATAAGATTACTGAAAATGAATTTTGTGACTGATTTGCAGTAATCTTATATACCAGTTTAATAAGTCCTATTAATAGAAATACACACTGTACTGGTGATTGAAAGAATATTTGTATTTCCATTTGCTTTCACAATTGACTGCCTTTCTAATTCTACTGACATTAAATTTCCAAACAAATGTTTAGTGCTTCTATNAGTAATCTTATATACCAGTTTAATAAGTCCTATTAATAGAAATACACACTGTACTGGTGATTGAAAGAATATTTGTATTTCCATTTGCTTTTACAATTGACTGCCTTTCTAATTCTACTGACATTAAATTTCCAAACAAATGTTTAGTGCTTCTATCACATGAAATAATTTTTGTAAATTAACATTTTCATTAAGTTATTATTTCTCATAATTGAAGACAATATTGTAATCTGAAATAAGAATTAGATAAGTTAAGGCAGTATTTGTAAATAAATAAATAGAAAAAGAAAATATTTAAGCAATGCAAATAATATTTGAAAATATTTTTATGAGGTAAAATACTCATAAATAATACATATATTTACTAAGAAAATATAGAGTGAAAGCTGATTTTAATTAACAAAGAACTGGTCACCAAAATATAAATTGTAATAGCTAATAATTATAATAAACTTTATAAACTGAATATTTATCCACAAAAACATGAAAGAGTTTATTTGTGAACGTGTGTGATAATGCTACATTTAAAATGTTTATTATTCATTTATAAATAGTTACATGTTTATCTATTTGAAAACTGTTATTTTCAAATTAACTTTCAAAACAAACATTTAATTTATAATCTTAAAAATAAACAATATTTTGAAAAAATTGTTGATAAAATTTTTTTTGCATTTTATATTTTCAGCAAAATGATAAATGACTTAAAAAGGACTGGACACACTACACCTGGAGGAACAAGTAGCGGAATGAGTTCAGCCAAACAGCCATTGGCAGAGCCAAATATTGACTTTGAATTAGATGTAAAAGTATTTTTTAATAGTGGAAAATGTGTATTACATACCAAAGATACATTTAGAGATTTACAAGATGATCAAGGACTGAAAAAGTAATTTTTTTAAACAAATGTTCTGCTTTTTTGAAATTTTTAATTTAATTGATTCTTGAAAATCTAATTCTTGAAATCTAATGATAGAAATCATTAAGGTGATGCAATATCTGGTAATCAATAAATTATAAATGAAATTATATTAAGTTTTTATCAATATTATCAGATATTTTTGTAAATAAACCCTGGGCTTAATTATGGAAACTAGATGGCTTCAGTTTGAAATACTGATGACAAAAATAGACTTAGTTTACCTTTTGGCATTTATTTTTTTTTTAAATATAAATAACATCATTCATCACAAAATTAATTAGTTTTTTTGTTATCATTTTTTAATGTCTTATTGTTTACTTCAGCTTCATTATTTTCTGATTTTCAAGATTCCTCATTAATTTAAACTTAGTGTTGAATTTTATTTGTAGTATATTTTCAGTTATTTTACATGCTCTGAAATGTGTTATGATTAACACTGAGAATGATTATGATATTTGACTTCTCAAAAACTATTTTCCCAAACTGGAAAAATGGTTCCCAGTTTGGTCTTCTGTATCTCTTCACTATGAATGCTTTAGGTCCAATGCTAAACCAATTCTCTTATTCATAATGAAGTACTACTATGAATGGTGTATTCACTCAGATATTAAAAAGGTTGCAGATAGTTAATTCTTTCAGATGATTTGGATAATGACTGAGTTAAAAAATCTGTTTTGAAATCTTTTCTGATTTCTTTTCATAAGAAACTTGTCTGTTTTAAACAGAAACATGGTTGATGTGGAAAAGAGTGTTTTTTGTGAAAGTATATTTGATTCAGTCTTTTATAGGGAGTTTATTCATTGATTTTGCAACTGATATTATAACTTTTAGATTTGAAGGAACAATGCAGCTTGTGACTTTCTTGTATTTATAATGATCATAGGTACCAAAAGAAGGTGACTAAATTCTGAGATGAACAACAATGAACTGTTCTATTGTTTTCAGTTGTCTATTAATTATGATGCCAAAAGTAAATTTGATATTCAAGAATAAGTTCACTGTTTTACTTTGTGTTGGGCTCTTTTACAGAAATATCTAGTAAATGTCAATTCATTAATTTCATAATTTTCTGAGATGAATAAATACTAAAGTGAATAAAAATATTTTAAGATATAAATTATTTGTCAATGATTTAAAAATTTAAACACACTTCTTTTTAGATAAAAATCTAAAAAAGAAACATGTTTTAATACATAATTTCTTTTGAAAAGGTTTTAATTTTAATTTTTATTAGTATACTATATCAGAAAATTTGTAAATAGTAATTTTGATTCTTTTGTATGTAAAAAGATCAATGAAAAAGGAAAGAAGTTTTTCTGGTGGAATGGTAGATCTATCCTCTCCTAGTCATAGCAAGAAAAAACATAGTTCAGGAATGAAAAATAATGCTACATCTGCTAGACTGAGATATGTACAGATGCCTGTGGCTGGTCAAATTGCTGACTTCACTATTTTTTTAATTCCTGGTCTAGATGTAAAGGTAAAAATATATAATTTTGATCTTATTAAAATGTTTATAACAATAAAGTTGTAAAGTCAGTGTCCTATTAGGTTCATTACAATTCCAAAACAATTGTTGGCGATAGTCCTGTGATGAATGCTGCAACTGGTAAAACTTCAGTAGAATCAGAAATTGAACAAAATGAAAATGTACAAAGGAGTACATTATTTCCCTTTGAGCATGGAAGTAGCTCTGTACTTAAGAAAGGTGGTGTAAAGAAAGCAAGTTTGTTCGCTTGGATGACATTACAAAGTATACCTGAAGTAAGTTAGATATTTTTATATTCATAAATATAAATTATTTTATTGCATAGTTGAAAAATAATGATTTTATTGGACTGTTGTTTTTATTATTGTATTTGTTGTAAAAGTTTTTTACAAGGATACTAACATAGGTTTTATTCAATATATTACTGAAAATTTTAATTTAGACTTAAGTGAAGGACCAAACTTTTTCATTTGCTACTCTGCATCCAAATTATATTGTGACCAGCAGATGAGCTCAGCGTTGCCCAAGCAAAAAACAAGAAGAAAGATTAAGATTATTAGATTATTTCATACTTCTAATCCTTCTATTCTAGTAGCCTGGGATGCTCCCTAGTGGGCATTCTAGCAGCAGCGGTGTCATTCTGTGGTATAAATAATAAATTCCTATTACAAATAAAAATAATAATATACTGAATTTCTCATGGTATACCCTACTAAAATGCAGCCAAAAATGCAAAAAACTGCATCAAATAATAATATACTGAATTTATTGTTAATTTAAATAATAGCTAGGGGTGCCCTAGTAGCTGTTTTTGGCATATGGTGACAGAAAGAAAGAAAGAATCTGGTTTTTCAGCTTTATATAGTTAGATACAGATCTTTTCAAAGATTCTCCTATAAAAAGAAAGTTAAAAAAAATGATATTTATCATCATTAATAGAAACAGATTGATATAAATAAAATTTATATATTTTTAAAATTAATTTGATATTTTTTGGTTCAATGTCACAACTGGATGAATTCATAGACACCTTGGCAATTTTCATCATCAACTTTTTATTTCAGAACTTTATTTGTCAAGACACATTTTGGGTTTTAGCCCTTCTTCAGTCGGCTACACAATAAAATATAAACATAAACATAAATTTCTTATATTAAATAATATTATATTATGACAATTAAAGACATACCATTATATCCTGGAATAACGTATATATATGACAATCGAAAATACCATTACATCTCGGAATAACATATATACGACAACCGAAATACATCTAGTTCACTGTTGAATACAAAAATTATTAATACATTGGCAATTAAAACCATGTTATAAAAAGGATTTTTTACAAATAAAACCATCCTTGCGTTGAGGTGTTTTTGCGGGTAGATTACATCTTATTCTTACATCAGACATCTTTTAGGCACTTTCTGTACATTGAACTTCTCGAGTGCAATGTAGGCTTCAATATTATGAAAACGTTGCCAGTCTTATTTCACATTTACATATGGCATAGATCATCTTATTTACATATTCTTTCTTGGGATATATGTATTAAATTTATTAAAGATAAATTCAGAAATTTTAAATTAGACAGGATAAATAATGTGTAAGCTGTTGTACAGCAAATACTAAGTCAATAAAATTGATAGTCATAAAGTCTATTTAAAGATTCAGCTATGCAAATTTCAGCAATATGCATAGTTTTTATTACAAATAATTTCATTTAATTAATCAAACACTGTTGCACAAGTTCTTATCAAGTAAGAGCACAAGTTCTTATTGCACAAGTTCTTATCAAGTAAGAACTTGTATAATAAAATGAAATTCTTGAAGTAATTCAAAATATACATCTAAATCACTGGTTAAGGTTTTATTTCATTAAACTAAAAATTTTTAGTATATTATATATATATATAGAATAGAAAAATTCTTAGTTATATATTTATTTAATATTTTTTTAGATTCAGAATTTAATTATGAAAATTATAAATAAAATAAAATAATTATTTTATAAATGAAGTTTGAATAGAAGTTTGATTCTTGAATCTTTATGCTTTCTTTTCTTGTTATTTTAGATATTTTTTGTTTGGTTATTTTTGGATCATCTCCCAATGATCTTCTGTTTTTAACATTATCTAATACATATATTCAGGTCTGGCTAGTGATTTGTCTAGGCTTGTCACCCTAGACAAATCACTTGTGTGCTACCCTTCCTCAGGAAAATTGACAAACCAGCACATTTAAAATAAAGTGGTGCCTTGTACTACAAATTTAATTCATTCCAGGAGGCCATTCAAACTCTGAAGCATTCAAAGCCTGAAGCAGTTTTTTCCATTATAAATACAGTAGAGCGTCATTTATCCGAATCAATTGGGGACTGGGGTTGTTTGGATAACTTATTTTTCGGATAACCGATTATGTACGAAAATATACATTAACCTATCCCATGTTGAAATTTTTCTCCGTTGCGTGTCGCTTCGCATTGAATTTTCGTCGATGTTAAGCCTAATGCAAACTTTTTAAAATAATAATCGTGGCTATTGTATCGTTAAAAATTATTTCTTTATTTTGTACAAACAGAATAAATACATTGAAAAATATAAAAACAAAAAATAATATACTTTAGAAGTTAATCTAGTATCAAAAACATTTGATTCAGCATGACACAGTCCTCAGAAAAACACCACACAAAAGTTCCAGTATTTCCAGCTAAAACACACACTTCAACAAAAAAAAATATTGGCGTAGCTCAAGATATAGCCAAAGATTGCAGCGCCATAGCACTAGCGAAAATTTAAATTTGCTGACTGAAATTCTTTCGGATAACTGACGTTTCGGATAACCGACTTTTGGATAAATGACGCTCTAGTGTAATGGAAAGTGAATTAATCCATTTCCAGATCCCCAACAATACCCATTTCAATACACTTAAAGAGCAAATACACATAATTTAAGGTAAAAATTACAAAATTAAATGCCCTGATAAATTAAAATATGAAAACAATAAATAGAATAGATACATATTTTTTAGATAGATACTTTATTGTAACTTACTGGAGTATAGTAAATACTGGGTGCCACAAATGTATAACCCAGAAATAAATAGAATATGTAAATACTGTATAACAAAATGAAAATTGCATTTACTGGTTGCACACTGTTAACTTCAATAACTTAAACATGGCCGCTAGATCTGCCACAAGAATGCTTTGTGATAAGTTCCTTTTTCATCTGAATTGTGGATATTACAAGCCTTCCTCTTATTGAACTTTATTGCTTCCACGCACTCTTCAGATGCTATGATTAATAAGGTAAAGGTGGTATTGGGTTAAACAGAAAGTTTTTCATATTTTTAACAGTTGTCATTACTTAACATGATATGGTATTTTAATTATAACAGTCATAAAATTTAACACATTATTGCTAATTTGAGATTGTATTTGTTCAGAAGCTTATTTTATTTTTCAAGTGCATTTTTCACCAAGTGCACAGTTCATACTTTAAAGCATCATTTGAACTATGAAGCAAATTTTTGCTGAATTTGGCATTCAAACTCTGAAGCATTCATCTAGTCCAGGGGTCATCAAACTTTTTTGATCATCGACCCCCTACAATTTTTCAAAACATCACATCAATCCCCACCAAAAAAGTTTGTTACACGCAAAAGAAAAAGCTCTTACTATTTTAATACATTTTCTAAATCTGCAAAATACTGTAGTGTTAAACTCATTGAAACATTATTCAAATACATAATAATATGTATAGTTATATTTGTGTTTTTAGTTTTAATTTTTCCATCAACCCCCAATAATGATATATCAACCCCTGGGGATCGACATCAACCACTTTGGCGACTCCTGGTATAGTCGTTCAAAATACAAGGGACCACTGTACAAAGTAATAGTATGGTTACACAAAAAGAAATTACAATTAAGTTGATAAATAATACTACATTAATTATATAATTTTTTACTATAAATATAGAAGTATAATATATTTTATGATTTGTATTATACAAATGGTTTTCAATTTCATAAAAACCAATTTGGATTTTAAATTCAAGTATTTTAAAATACTAAATAATAATACAGTTCCATTTTAATACTATTAAGCTTCCTATAAAAAAATTGCATGTTGTAGTGCTGCCTTTAGATTTGGTCACCCTAGACAGCCACCTGGTTTGCCTACATGGTCACACAGGCCTTTATTTATTTATTTAATCAGTGATTAGAATTACTTATTCAAATATAAAAAATTTATCTTGAAATCAAATTTTGTATCTTTAGATTGGTAGAAACTTCTCTATTCTCTTTTATACATTTAGCATTAAAGTAGAATTCACTTATTGTGATCATTTTTGGACTTGCCTTTACTGTTAATAATAACCAACTGATAACATTAAACAAGATAACTAAATCAGACTATAATTAGTGAAAATGTTTACTTTATTGACTCTGACATTAAAGGCACATATTAAAACAATTTAAAATATATAACATGAAGAATTGTTAATTATAATTATCATTATTAATTAATAATATTTCATTATATTTCAGGAAGTTCTCGCCTTGAGGTGGGGATTTCTCAGCAAAAGTGACACGTAATTATATTGAATGAAAAGCTGTATGTCCGTTCAATATGTAATTAGAGTAACAAATGTTAATAATTTAAACTATTTTACTGCATATGAATAACAATTAATGTTTAACATTTAAAATACTGGCTAAAACTGATAATGATTACCCATTATAAGCCATATGTTGAGAATGATATCATGAAAACACAGTTTAAAATGTCTACTAAAGATAATAATAATATAATCAAATCTCTGAATACAATAAGCTAAGTTTTATAAGTGTATTTTAACTTATATATTTTAGAATTGCTAATTCTGATAAAATTAGACAACTAATATGGTAACGATATCTGTGATTACAATAAGTGGATTGTACTATAGTAGAAACGGTTTTTCAAAGTTTCACATGATATTAGTTCTATTCTGCTGGTATCAGTGTTTGTATCTTTTTAATATGAAAAAATTTAGGAAGATAATTATATTTTAATTAAAATTTATTTTAATAAATTGTTATGCTTTATTAATATTACTTATACTTATATATATTTGTATACATATACACCAGGAAACAGTTATTAGTCCACATATTCTGGATTTCCTAGAACAGGCTTTAGAACCAATACCAATTCAGTTAGCGAAGCAACCACCTCCAGTCACTGGTAAGTTATTTAATTAAATCTATATAATATACATAAACTTAATTTTGTTTTTATATGGATTTTTTTATGATTTTGATTTATGTGGTTTGGAAAAAAATTCAATTCTCTTTTTTACATGAATTATTTTGATCTAAATTTTCCTTTTTAAAATCTATTTGATTTTAATTCAAAGAAAAAGTATTCATATTTCCTTTTCTAGAAAATTACTTTTTTTTAAAAAAAAATCTTAGAATTTTTATTTAAGGCAGCTTTGCATGCTCAAGTAAATTTTAATATTTGACTATTTTTACAATTTATTTGAACATGTTTAGCAACAGTGGATGTATCTAGGTATGTAGGATCAAATAGTTCATTTCATATGAAAGAGACTGTTATTGGTTTGATTACTTAGCTGCTTGCGACCTACCTACTCAGTCTTTCATTCTGCCTTTATTCCACAATTGAAGCAATTAGAAAAAATTTAATTCAAAAGTTTGGCAGTTTGTATGATTCAAACTGTTCCATATTGAAATAAATTTTAATATTGAATCGTTTTTGTATGCCATTTGGTGTTAAAATATAGAAATACTTTGATGTTTAATTTTAAAAAAAGTCAAACAAAAAATAAAAGTAAAATAAAATCTTTGCAAATACAGTAGAGCATCAATTATCCAAATACCAATCAACTAAAACATTGGTTAACTGAAAGCGTTTCAGTCGGCAAATTCAAATTTCCACTAGTGCTGTGGCACTGCAATATTTGGCTATGTCTTGGGCTACTCCAATATTATTTTTGTTGGTGTGTGTGTTTTAGCTGACAGCACTGGTGCAACCATATTGTATCGTTAAAAATTATTTCTTTATTTTGCACAAATAAAATAAATACAGTGGGTGATCGGTTAACAAACATAATCCGTTCCAAGACTTTGTTCGCTATCTGAATTGTTCGTTAACCGATTATCAATTTACCATAGGTTTGTATGGGAATTTGATTAATTCGTTCTGGAGACCCCAAAAAATAAAAAATATATACTTTCTTACTACATATATTTATATGTAATAATAAAAATACATATATACACAGACTTGCATTTTTATTAGTCATGTTTTTTTTGTTTGTGGTGGTTAAATAATCTGTCTAATGTCAATTGCTTTTCTCTCTTCTTCAGGATTTTCAGAATTAATAGCATTGTAATTGTAGAGATCCCCAAGCCTATTAACCTCAACCTGGTTTGTATGCCATTCTAAGACTGTTCATCTGACATCCCCCACTTCTTCAAAAGATCTTTAATTAATAGCAGCTATCAGCATTAATCCTTTTTTTCATAATAAAACATATCTTGCCGAGTTTCTTGGTGTTCTTCATTCAAGAGTTCTTGGCATTCTTCTGTCATCAGATCCATTTCAGGTTTCATTATGAGCTCTTCAATGTTCTTTATTTCTCATATGTGGTATTTGTTACTCCTTTAGCTACTTGAATTTTTTTAATTATACAGTATCTTTCTCAGATAAGATTGAACTGCGCCCTACTGTACATTTGTTCAAGCCATACTGGTCACTCTCTACTTTTTCTATTATATTCTCACCTTTCGAAAATAAAACCAATGCAAAACTTAATGAGTGCCCGCCTGACAGTCTCGCGAATACTATAAAAGAATTGTTTGTCAGAAAAATAAAAGGCTGGAATTACAAAGGAGTGTTTCAAAGTTTGAGGAATACTATCTGATCAGTATATATCGGGTTGAGCGTTGACGTTGACGTCTCCTGCGCTCCAAAAAGTTACCTGAAGACAAAGGAAAATCAATCGGTATTTGCTATTTCTGTCTCTTCTTTTTATGTTTGTTCAGTGAAGTGTTTGTTGTCTGATCATAAAAATCTTACGCGAAAGTGTTCGTTATTCGATTTGTTTGTTAACTGATCACCAACTGTATATTGAAAAATGTAAAAACAAAAAAATTATATTTCAGAAGTTAATCTAGTATCAAAAACATTCCGATTCAGCATGACACATGTCAAGAGGATACTTAAGGACACACCAGTATTTGAATGAGGCTTTTTTCCCTATCATGAGTGGTGTGTTTTGCTTCAGCTCGTCGGAAAATATAGCCCAAGTGGCTGACATCTCCAGATAAACCCAAGAAAAAGAAAGAGTTTAGCTTGTTTTGTGTGGTGCTTTTCTGAGGACTGTGTTATCGGGACATGTCATGCTGAATTGGAACATTTTTGATACTAGATTAACTTCCAAAATATAATTTTTTTTGTTTTTATATTTTTCAATAAATTTATTTTGTTTATGCAAAATAAAGAAATAATTTTTAACGATACAAGTGCCATGATTATTATTTTTTTAAAATTTTCGTTAGGCTTAACATTGACGAAAATTCAATGCAAAGTGACATGCAATGGAGAAAAACTTCAGCATGGGGATGGGTTAATATATTTTTTCATACATGATCAGTTATCCGAACAACCCCAGTCCTGAATTGTTTCGGATAATTGATGCTCTACTGTAATATAAATTTATAAATTATCCTATGTAAGTTATGATTGTCCTTCTGATTTAAATAAAATTTAAATATTTTGTTTAAACACATCCTATTGTATTAATTGGATTATTATATTATTTTTATTGGTTTTTGAGGTCTGGAACCAATCTTCCATTTTTTTACATGAACAGTATTTTTTTTACATGGATTTTTCAGGAATATATCTATTATGTAAAAACATAATTGGATGTATTTATATTAAAATATAAGTATAATTTCCTAATGAAATTTCTTTTGTAAAAATTTCTGCAGATAATACATAGGAAATTATGGTATAATTTAGTTGATATTGATTTTTAATGATTCACAAATATTTTATCATTAACCAACTTCTATAAAATTAGTTATTGACTAAATAGCTAAATCAATTTTTTACAAATATCCTTCAGTTATAAGCATTAAATAATTAAATGAAAATTTATAAAAATTATAACTTTGCATTATCCATACATATATACATGTATGTGTATGCAAGTATGTACATACATATGCATGCATTTTTTAAAGATTTTAATTTATATATACAGTACTTCTATTACACATTCTGAAAAACATAAAAGTCTTTTATAAATCAGGGATATTTAGTTTATTTTGTAAATTAATTAATGAAAATATGTGAAAAATTTTTTCAGATAGCAGTTTTAACTTTAGAATTGATAGATTTTTATTTATAATTTGCAGAATAAAGTGGTCAAAGTTTGTTTTGCCAGTTTTTCTAATACTAATTTTTAAAATTTAAAATTAATAATTGGAAATTTATAAATGCAAATATTTATACTTTTTCTAATGAAATAATACTAATTTTGCCATTCATCTTGATAACTTTTTATATAAATTTAGATTGAGATATAATTTTTATAGATGGTAATTTGTAATTTATGTTTTCATAGAATCAAGTAACGTCATCTTCTCAAACATTAAACCAGAGACAGCAAGCAGCTCTTTAGCTGCACCTACTCAGTATGCTTATGCATCTTTCCCAGTTGATGTCATCGTATATTTCAGAATGCAACCTTCAATCCTTCGCTTTAGTTGTCTTCCTGTCTCTCGTGTGGAATGTCTGCTTAGACTTCCATCTGTTGATCTAGTATTTTCTTCAAAACGGGCAGAAGATGATCTGTATGCAGGTAACACTGTTCACTTGGAAAAAGTGGGAAACATCAAATCAAGATGTAAGTATTAATTAACATTTTTTCCATTATGTTAACTGATAAATTCCTATTAGCATGACTGTATTTATTTTGAAAATTTTATAAGTTGAACCAGCAATATATATTTATATTAATTACATCAATATATGATAACATTTATTTCATAGTTTAACAGTTTAATAATTGGACATATACATGAACATACATACATACATATGTGAGGACCCAACTCAGGTCCGAAATCATGTAAATTGCAGTATTCTTCTGATTAAATAATAATGATAGATTAAATATGAGAGGGAGAGGAAAATCTTATAATTTAAACAACACAGCACAAAATGTAAACAACGAGTCCCGGATGACTCCAACATGTGTTAAATGAACTGTCAATGTCAAAATGAAAAGTTATAAGTCAGACACAAGTGATCATAAACAGGTAGAACTTTGACCCAAATGCTCATAAACAATCAATCTAGGGAAACAATTTCAGAAAAGAGAGAAAGATTTAAGAGAGATAAATCATTGCATATGATCGTTCGAGTACCCAGATGACAGAAATCGCGAGTAACGGAGCTAAATTATGAGCGCGAGTCTTGCAAATTTGTCAACAATCCCCAAGAACAATCGACAGAATGGTGTCAAGCAGACACCTGGAATCGGACCTTTTCCGTGATCTGAGTCATTCTTGGTTTTCCCCAAAACAAAAGAGAGACCAATCGGGAAGCAAGGAAGGAGATGAGGGGCCAATCAAGTGTCCGAATAGTGGGAGAAAAAACTCATTCATTCATTCATTCATTTTATTCAACGTGTTAATACACATTTCCTGGCCCTGCAATTAGCATTACCAGGAAGATATTAAATATACAAGATATATAACGATAATTCAATGCATTGTATAACATAGAATACAGAGTAAAATTATATGCAATAAATAAACATAATATACAGAAATAATTAAGACAGATTACATGAGTATATAATGGAAATATTAACAATAAAATAAATATAATCAAATATATACAAATTAAATTTCATGTAATAGAGAACAAAGTTAAAGGTACAGTGTCATAGTAAAGTACAAAGTAATTGAACAATATGTTCAATATTAGAATATATCATAATTACACATTACATATTTCAATTATATTATGGTACGTAGTATCACAGAAATCACATATGATGCATGACATCTTAAATATTTTAGCTACATATGAAGCATTAACGACAATCAATTATCAAACAGAGAATTCACATTTAAAGAGAGAAGTGCTAAACATAGTAGAAGATAATGCAGTCAATACAAAAGTATATCAACAATGTAGTCATCACGAATATATATCAACTGTATAAAGTCATCTGTTGAAGTCTAGCTTTCTCTTTAATATAAACTGGACAATTTTTATCCATGGTGTTATGATCGTTATTGTCTAAATTTCCTCGGGAGCAATTAATACACTTGGGTGGATTCTGCTTATTCGGACAACATTTAAATAGATGCTTCTCGTTACAGTGACTACATATATTTTCTTTTTCAGGGCAACGTTTAGCAAAGTGATGGAAAGATAGACATCTGTAACACTGTATTACTGGAATGTAGTCATAAACACGACATGAAGACCATTGTAGATAAATTTTCCCAGCTTTTATCATCTTTTGTCTGATCTCTGGAGTTACTTCCAGTACCCAGGAGACATTTTCAGTATTCTTCTCATTTAATGAGAACTTAATGTGTACCTGTTCAGCAAAGATTCTATCAGTAAAAGTATCTAATAGATATCCATTCTGCTCAAAAATTTGTAAGATTAGATCTTCTTTAGCTACACATTTAGGTACTGATGCTATTTTTATCAGAGGTAATCTTTTTTTAGGTAATTTTGCACTTAGATTAGGAATTTTTTCTGCATTCTCTTTAAAATATTTGACTTCATTTTTGTGTTGTAAATCCACAGCGATACCTCCATTTCCTATTTTTCTAACATTTCGTACTCCTATACCTAACACTCCAGGATTCAGATTGTCTGTTAATTGCTTTTTTGTCTCCTCACAAGTAGCCTCTTTCTTATTGCTATAAACTAGTACTGTGTATTTTGGCGGAGGCGGCTCACTTACATTAAGAATTGGTTTTAATCCTTTCTTTAGAACATCCCTATAACTCGAAGGACAAGAGTCGTTGCCTCCACTAAAATCATCTGATATGTTTTCCCTATTGGTAAGCATGGTATATTGAATATCCTTCATAATTTTGCTAGTTTCTTTATTTTGAGTTTCTGTAAATCTTAATAAATCTTCCTTTGTTACTAATCCAGATAATGTTTCATTAATTACATTGTTATTGTGAAGGGTTACCTCAGCAAGTTCGACTAATCTCGAGAATTGTGTTAAGATAAATGATAAGTGGCAATCAGCTCCAAATTTAGCGTTCGGAAATCGGCGAGAATATTGCCTAATTTCGTCCATAATACCATTAGTAGTTTCACGAAACTTCTGCATTATAGATTCCATTTTAAGTAAAATAGTATAAATTTTATTAGAAAGCGAGAAAAACCCAACTTCCGGTTAATGTTCTAGAAGCTTATAGAAGTTGAGGTCAATGACCTTTAACAGGATGTTGAATTTGATGAAATCTAAGAATTGCCGTAATTTAAAAACTATTAGTCCGATGATAACGAAATTTTCTGAGCAGGTTACGTTTAGGGTCTTAAGAGAACTGCCTGAGTATTTTGTGAAAATGGCCCACCGGAAGAAAGCTAACTGAGTTCGAATTTAGACCGGAAATAGTCGATAATTCCACAAATATTAAGTCCAGAACAATTAAATTTTAAAGTTTTACTCACATACATAGTGCTAATAAAATAGCGTACCATGATCTGGATGATCGGTCAACTAAGTCCGGTAAACCGAATTCGTAAAATCCAAATTTTCAAAATGGCATAACTTCTTAACAGAGTATCCAATTTGAAAAATTTCGACGGACTCTTGTTCCAGATGCAAAACGGATTCAGCAAATGTATAACACTAATATAAAATAATAAGATGCATACAAAATAACATAAAAAATCTAAGAGCTGAAGTTGTCCACATCCTATAACTTTGAAGTACTAGCGCCACCTCGGAATTCCTAATGTTTACTCTCGCGAATTGAATGAATACAGAAGTGGTTCTATGGGATGGGAGAAAAAACTATAAAAATCCAAAATTCAAGATTGGAGAGAGGCTCTCCTCCATATTTCACGAAAGGTCACGACTTATATTGTGGTGTGTCGTCGCCAAGAACTTTGGACTCCGCTGCTTCCTCCTTCCAATCGCTCACCTTGCTCAGCCTTGCTATTTCTTGCTGAATTACTACTTATATAGTTGTGAGGAACCGGGGGTAGATAAATGTAATGTCTACCACTTAATCAGCTACAGATCTGGAAGATCCACCTGCAGAGTCGTAGGATGGCTAAAAGGATGTTTGCAATCAAAGATCGTAAGATCTCAATCTACAGTCAGGATTCCCAACACCAGCTAGGGAAGGAATTTGCATTTAAGATAATTTTTAATTAGGAGGGCTGTTACATTGATGAGTGGGGAGGAGTCACAGGTAAGTTCAAGTCATAGTGGGGTGAAATTGTCCGACTTATTAATAAAAGAAAAGGAGTCAACTGGTTAACTAACAAATAAAGGTTTACTAATATAAAAGATAACAACAATGAGATACAATATAATACTACAAATACAAGTTAACATTATCAAATTTAATTCTACTTACACCTCTAATCCGAGAGTATACTATTAAACCTTCGAGAGAGAGAGAGAGAGAGAGAGAGAGAGAGCTTACATCAATTTAAACTTACTACCTTGACTGACGGTCTAGAAAGTAGTCTTCTTCTTCTATACAATGAAGTTCCTTGGTGAAGCTCTTAGATGGAGAAGGGATGAGGGAAATCAAAACTTAGAATCTGCGAGAGAACTCTATTCTTATGGCATGTCCTTGGGGATTGTTGACTGGCTTCCTATGGCTATGTCCTTATATGATGAACTACCATCTTCTGGTGGCATATTCAGACTAATGTCGACTGCATCTCCTATGGCAATGTCATATTTCTATTGATTGCCTCCTGTATGGCATATCTCTTCTTTCGTAGACTGCCCCAAATGGCGGGAAAATCACCCTTTTTATTGTCATTTCTGTCCAATTATGTAAAAGAATCCGTGGTTACTAACGGGATGTATAGGAATATGGAGAGGGGTAAACTGCCAGATGGATGTCAAATTTGTAGATAAAGTCTTGTGGGAAAGGAAGGTGATTTCCTCAAAATGTAAAAAGTTTTTGAATGTGTTTTCCTTTTTGGTAAACAAACCCATAAAACCAAATACATTTCCCACACTAATTAATTAAATAAATCCCGATTCTCACATACTTGTCCTTTAATGACTTAATTAAGTGTTTGTTAGTAAAGTAATTTGATTGTTTTTAAAGTTTAATATCATAGATTAAAGTGCTTTTTAGTATTTTAATGTTGTTTTAGAAATTTATTAAGAATGAGTTAGTTTTTCCATAATAAATAATGGAAAACACTTTCCAATATCCAAATTTCTAATTCTTGAATTGCTTTTAGGACACATTAGATTCACATAATGATGTATGATTGTATTTGATTTTGTAATGAAAAAAATATATAATTTGTCTGTACATCAAATTTCAACCCAAATAAATTATCCAAATTTAAGCTATAGCATTGACATTTGTAATTACCATGCTTTCATGCAGATAAACTGTTTATGTCTGTATTTAAAAGTCTGTTTGAATCCAGGTGCAAGTTATGCAATGATCTATTTTACTGATTAACCTGTAATTGAAAGCTGACAACAGTACAGTTTTAACTTCAAAAAAAAGTGTGAATTCATATTTTTGATAATTTTCTTTCTCTAAACTTACCAAGAGTATCTTTAGAAGGTATGAAAAGCCCTTGCACATCACATGTTCATCTGCCATTATTTTTTTTCAAAACCATTATAGGTACTGTACTTATAAGTATGACTCATCTTTAATTCTCTAACATTTATTTTCTGTATGTCAATTCATGCTTTAATTGATATTAAATACTCCTACTTGAACTTGTATTTGAAAGCCAATAATTTTTCTCTCTCAATACAGGGAGATACAAAAAGGACTTTAAAACTTTGAAAGCTTATAGAATTTTAATCAGAAGATGTACGGAATTTGTTGAGATAATTTGTAGTAAAACACATCAAGCTTTACCTCAGTCATATTGGTTCAATGTAAGCATCATTGATGATAGTACATATACATATATCATGCCTGAATTCAATTTCTTGCTAAACATAAAGCAGCTTATCTGTTGTCACTTTCAGTAACTGCAACAATGATACATGTTTCGAGAGTTTTAATGGAATAGATATAAAATTTAATTAAAATTCAGTTATAAAACATAAGACTAGTGAAACCTAACATCTTTTCTAATATCCATATTAAATCAGAGACCAAGATTTTTTAAAAAACATAGCTATTTCATTCTTTTCCTTTTATAAACATCAATGCATTTTAGATTAAATTTTTATTAATCCCTGCTCAGGCTTTTGACATACTAGTCATGCAAAGGGAAAACAAGTTGCATGACTAATGTGTCATAGTTTTGAGTTCAGTGAAATTTACAGGCAAGAGTGGAAAAAAACACTAGATCTTTAACAAAACTCCAGAAGAAAAATCTGGAAACAAGATGACTGCTCAACTAATCCACCAATCTGGAAGATGTTTATTGAGGAAATCCCATGATTGTGCATATGTTCTTCTGTGTCATTGTTGTTTGATTGTGGAATAAGAAAATTTTTCAGCACTTTTATACAAAACACTTCAATTTTGGATTGTCACAAACGTGTTTCATAGTTGATTGTGCTTTTTTTTTAAGCCCCAAGTCCTGCAGTTATGGTTATTTACTTTACCATTGAGACAAAATGTCATCTCATCACTAAATATAATGTTATCTAGGATTGTCTTGTTTTTTTCAATCCAATAAAATATTTCTGCACTACATGAAACAAACTTGTAATTTGCTATAAATTAATGCCTTAGCTGATTGATTTGATAAATCTACTGATTAAAATTTTATATGTTAAAAATTGTAGTTTTTTTCTTTTTTAAACATGTTGTATCACACTTTCACACTTTGAATTATCCTGAATTATCTTTCAGAGAAGTATTTAGAAACTAAATATTGATTTTGTTGTATAAGAGTGGAGCAATTAACTTTTAGGCCTATGTAATTGGATACTTAGATGATCATTTATATTTATGATGCTTAATGTAGTTTAAGAGGTTCTGTCTCAAATATTTCATTTTTTTTTTTTACTTATTTTAAAATTATATATTCAGTGAATTTTTAATGGAAATGAAACAAAAGAAATGGGAAAAAAAATTAAATATGAATATCTTCTAAATTGCATGTGTTATGTTTCAACAGTCATTTTGATAGAGCAGATTATGAAAAGGTTTTTAGTTCAGTTATAGCAGTTTTTTGTAATTTTTGTTTATGTGCCAGTATGGATTATCCTTATGAAAGTAAAATACTAAAAATATGATTTTCTTATATCAAAACAACTTTAAATATTTTATTCAGAATGATATATGAGTTATTAAATTATGATCAGAAAGATGATACTGTAAAAAAGTAAAAATAAAAAAATATGCAACTTTTAGATGATAATTATTAATAACTAGCTGCAAGGACCCGCTTCGCTGGGTTTTTAAAAAGTAACGATAGTGATGATTAAGATAATTACATTATAGCCAATCTTACCCGTTTTCACAGAATGCAAGAATTAGGCCCCCCGTTTCCAGACTAANAGACCCCAAAAAATAAAAAATATATACTTTCTTACTACATATATTTATATGTAATAATAAAAATACATATATACACAGACTTGCATTTTTATTAGTCATGTTTTTTTTGTTTGTGGTGGTTAAATAATCTGTCTAATGTCAATTGCTTTTCTCTCTTCTTCAGGATTTTTCAGAAGTAATTAATAGCATTGTAATTGTAGAGATCCCCAAGCCTATTAACCTCAACCTGGTTTGTATGCCATTCTAAGACTGTTCATCTGACATCCCCCACTTCTTCAAAAGATCTTTAATTAATAGCAGCTATCAGCATTAATCCTTTTTTTCATAATAAAACATATCTTGCCGAGTTTCTTGGTGTTCTTCATTCAAGAGTTCTTGGCATTCTTCTGTCATCAGATCCATTTCAGGTTTCATTATGAGCTCTTCAATGTTCTTTATTTCTCATATGTGGTATTTGTTACTACTTTAGCTACTTGAATTTTTTTAATTATACAGTATCTTTCTCAGATAAGATTGAACTGCGCCCTACTGTACATTTGTTCAAGCCATACTGGTCACTCTCTACTTTTTCTATTATATTCTCACCTTTCGAAAATAAAACCAATGCAAAACTTAATGAGTGCCCGCCTGACAGTCTCGCGAATACTATAAAAGAATTGTTTGTCAGAAAAATAAAAGGCTGGAATTACAAAGGAGTGTTTCAAAGTTTGAGGAATACTATCTGATCAGTATATATCGGGTTGAGCGTTGACGTTGACGTCTCCTGCGCTCCAAAAAGTTACCTGAAGACAAAGGAAAATCAATCGGTATTTGCTATTTCTGTCTCTTCTTTTTATGTTTGTTCAGTGAAGTGTTTGTTGTCTGATCATAAAAATCTTACGCGAAAGTGTTCGTTATTCGATTTGTTTGTTAACTGATCACCAACTGTATATTGAAAAATGTAAAAACAAAAAAATTATATTTCAGAAGTTAATCTAGTATCAAAAACATTCCGATTCAGCATGACACATGTCAAGAGGATACTTAAGGACACACCAGTATTTGAATGAGGCTTTTTTCCCTATCATGAGTGGTGTGTTTTGCTTCAGCTCGTCGGAAAATATAGCCCAAGTGGCTGACATCTCCAGATAAACCCAAGAAAAAGAAAGAGTTTAGCTTGTTTTGTGTGGTGCTTTTCTGAGGACTGTGTTATCGGGACATGTCATGCTGAATTGGAACATTTTTGATACTAGATTAACTTCCAAAATATAATTTTTTTTGTTTTTATATTTTTCAATAAATTTATTTTGTTTATGCAAAATAAAGAAATAATTTTTAACGATACAAGTGCCATGATTATTATTTTTTTAAAATTTTCGTTAGGCTTAACATTGACGAAAATTCAATGCAAAGTGACATGCAATGGAGAAAAACTTCAGCATGGGGATGGGTTAATATATTTTTTCATACATGATCAGTTATCCGAACAACCCCAGTCCTGAATTGTTTCGGATAATTGATGCTCTACTGTAATATAAATTTATAAATTATCCTATGTAAGTTATGATTGTCCTTCTGATTTAAATAAAATTTAAATATTTTGTTTAAACACATCCTATTGTATTAATTGGATTATTATATTATTTTTATTGGTTTTTGAGGTCTGGAACCAATCTTCCATTTTTTTACATGAACAGTATTTTTTTTACATGGATTTTTCAGGAATATATCTATTATGTAAAAACATAATTGGATGTATTTATATTAAAATATAAGTATAATTTCCTAATGAAATTTCTTTTGTAAAAATTTCTGCAGATAATACATAGGAAATTATGGTATAATTTAGTTGATATTGATTTTTAATGATTCACAAATATTTTATCATTAACCAACTTCTATAAAATTAGTTATTGACTAAATAGCTAAATCAATTTTTTACAAATATCCTTCAGTTATAAGCATTAAATAATTAAATGAAAATTTATAAAAATTATAACTTTGCATTATCCATACATATATACATGTATGTGTATGCAAGTATGTACATACATATGCATGCATTTTTTAAAGATTTTAATTTATATATACAGTACTTCTATTACACATTCTGAAAAACATAAAAGTCTTTTATAAATCAGGGATATTTAGTTTATTTTGTAAATTAATTAATGAAAATATGTGAAAAATTTTTTCAGATAGCAGTTTTAACTTTAGAATTGATAGATTTTTATTTATAATTTGCAGAATAAAGTGGTCAAAGTTTGTTTTGCCAGTTTTTCTAATACTAATTTTTAAAATTTAAAATTAATAATTGGAAATTTATAAATGCAAATATTTATACTTTTTCTAATGAAATAATACTAATTTTGCCATTCATCTTGATAACTTTTTATATAAATTTAGATTGAGATATAATTTTTATAGATGGTAATTTGTAATTTATGTTTTCATAGAATCAAGTAACGTCATCTTCTCAAACATTAAACCAGAGACAGCAAGCAGCTCTTTAGCTGCACCTACTCAGTATGCTTATGCATCTTTCCCAGTTGATGTCATCGTATATTTCAGAATGCAACCTTCAATCCTTCGCTTTAGTTGTCTTCCTGTCTCTCGTGTGGAATGTCTGCTTAGACTTCCATCTGTTGATCTAGTATTTTCTTCAAAACGGGCAGAAGATGATCTGTATGCAGGTAACACTGTTCACTTGGAAAAAGTGGGAAACATCAAATCAAGATGTAAGTATTAATTAACATTTTTTCCATTATGTTAACTGATAAATTCCTATTAGCATGACTGTATTTATTTTGAAAATTTTATAAGTTGAACCAGCAATATATATTTATATTAATTACATCAATATATGATAACATTTATTTCATAGTTTAACAGTTTAATAATTGGACATATACATGAACATACATACATACATATGTGAGGACCCAACTCAGGTCCGAAATCATGTAAATTGCAGTATTCTTCTGATTAAATAATAATGATAGATTAAATATGAGAGGGAGAGGAAAATCTTATAATTTAAACAACACAGCACAAAATGTAAACAACGAGTCCCGGATGACTCCAACATGTGTTAAATGAACTGTCAATGTCAAAATGAAAAGTTATAAGTCAGACACAAGTGATCATAAACAGGTAGAACTTTGACCCAAATGCTCATAAACAATCAATCTAGGGAAACAATTTCAGAAAAGAGAGAAAGATTTAAGAGAGATAAATCATTGCATATGATCGTTCGAGTACCCAGATGACAGAAATCGCGAGTAACGGAGCTAAATTATGAGCGCGAGTCTTGCAAATTTGTCAACAATCCCCAAGAACAATCGACAGAATGGTGTCAAGCAGACACCTGGAATCGGACCTTTTCCGTGATCTGAGTCATTCTTGGTTTTCCCCAAAACAAAAGAGAGACCAATCGGGAAGCAAGGAAGGAGATGAGGGGCCAATCAAGTGTCCGAATAGTGGGAGAAAAAACTCATTCATTCATTCATTCATTTTATTCAACGTGTTAATACACATTTCCTGGCCCTGCAATTAGCATTACCAGGAAGATATTAAATATACAAGATATATAACGATAATTCAATGCATTGTATAACATAGAATACAGAGTAAAATTATATGCAATAAATAAACATAATATACAGAAATAATTAAGACAGATTACATGAGTATATAATGGAAATATTAACAATAAAATAAGTATAATCAAATATATACAAATTAAATTTCATGTAATAGAGAACAAAGTTAAAGGTACAGTGTCATAGTAAAGTACAAAGTAATTGAACAATATGTTCAATATTAGAATATATCATAATTACACATTACATATTTCAATTATATTATGGTACGTAGTATCACAGAAATCACATATGATGCATGACATCTTAAATATTTTAGCTACATATGAAGCATTAACGACAATCAATTATCAAACAGAGAATTCACATTTAAAGAGAGAAGTGCTAAACATAGTAGAAGATAATGCAGTCAATACAAAAGTATATCAACAATGTAGTCATCACGAATATATATCAACTGTATAAAGTCATCTGTTGAAGTCTAGCTTTCTCTTTAATATAAACTGGACAATTTTTATCCATGGTGTTATGATCGTTATTGTCTAAATTTCCTCGGGAGCAATTAATACACTTGGG